AGACGTGGGGCTCAATCCCATGAACTATGACATCATGACCTGAACTGAAATCCAGAGTCAGATGCTTAACTGACTGAACCACCCAGGCACCCCTATATGTCTTTTTTTGATCCCAAATTCTTGCTTTTCAAAGATGCTATCAAGAGAAGGCCATCTGGATTTTTCTTCTCGATTCCTGAATGATAATCACCTTTTGTTTTAGGGATTGGATGAAACGTGGCATAACCATTCTCTAACTGGAAACATATTGTCCCAATAAACAAGGCAAACATTTTATATATCCACATCTTCTAGAGAAGTATACTTATCTTATGCTCTTTTGCGGTTGTATTACAGGTTCTGCCTCCATGATACAACTTAATGTAATGAAAACATGGTTTTGGCTGCAGTTGCTACTTCAATGCCCCCCTTTGGTATCTTGCTCGTGATTAGACATGGCTGGTGTTGGATGTTAATGCATTCCTCACCCTTGCTGACCATTTCACAACACCGGCACGTTTTCATAACTTCATTTGACTGTCAAACTTGTGAGGCATGGAAGCCAGATTACCAATCAACGTTTAGTGAGAGGCCCAGTCACAAAGTGTTCCTGGGACAAAAGAGGAAAGAGTCTCTGTGGTTCAGTGAGATTTCCTCTCCAAGTTCACGCTCCTGGTAGTGCCATAACAGGACCTGGAACTCAGACCTGGAAACTGTCATTCTCATGGTCCCCTCCACACCAGGAATTTTGAGAACTAAGATTGGCCCTTAATATTGGCAACTAGCAGCAGCAGCCAAGGTATTTATTTGTTGGGTCCTTTTCCAGCACCTTCTCTGCACTACGTTCAGGAGCAATTAACTCTGCTAAGGCTTTGTACCAATCCTGGACCGTTTTTGCCTTAAGAACCTCAAATAAACACCCAGCATGTGTAATAAGCTCTTGGTAAGTTATTTTAATGAATCCTTCTGACAAGGCCATGGGGTAAAAGTGACATCCCCATGTTAAAGCAAGGAAACTGGTAGAGTGAGGTACGGCTATAAGTAGTGAGTGGCAGAGTCATGATTTAAACTCAGGTCTATTGCTGGGTCATAGGATAATTCTATTTTTAATTTTTTGTGTAGTTTATATGTATAATGGAATACTACTTGGCAATGAGAAAGAATGAAATCTTGCCATTTGCAACAATGTGGATGGAACTGGAGGGTATTATGCTGAGTGAAATAAGTCAGTTAGAGAAAGACAAGTGTCCTAAGTTTTCACTCATATGTGGAATTTGAGAGACTTAACAGAAGACCATGGGGGGAGGGAAGGGGAAAAAATAGTTTCAAACAGAGAAGGAGGCAAACCAAAAGAGATTCTTAATGCAGAGAACAAACTGAGGGTTGATGGGGGAGTGGGTTGGGGAGAGGAGAAAATGGGTGATGGGCATTGAGGAGGGCACTTGTTGGGATGAGCCCTGGGTGTTCCATGTAAGAGATGAATCATGGGAATCTATTCCCAAAGCCAAGAGCACACTGTATACACTGTATGTTAGCCAATTTGACAATAAATTATATTTAAAAAATAAATAAACAAACTCAGGTCTGTATTACTCCCAAGCCTCCCAGGTAACTTCCTCTTTGGGCAGAATTAGTTTTGGAATGTCTGGGTACAGGCAATACAGGTGGCCTTTAAGATTTCTTCAAGTTGCTTCTCAAGAATTGAGGAGAGGCCCATTACTTTCCACCAGCTTTTTTTTTTCTTTTCAGTGAACAGTGTCTGAGAAACCCCTTCTTCATTTAGCACATTCTCCCTCCTTCCCTCTCTCTCTCTCTCTCCTTCTCCCTCTCTCTCTCATTCACATCAGCTCAGGAAGCATTGCATTAGGGCTGACTTCCCTGGGTTTGCTCTGCTACTTACTCTGGGTGTGATCTTGGGAAAGTCACTTATGCTCACACTGCATTGGAATTTTCCATTTAAATGTCACAATCTTGCATTAACCCCACACTTTTTAAGGTCAGAGAAGACTTCGTATCCTCAATAGCTATCACTTGGTAGGTGCTCCGTCCTTGGTGAGTTATTTATACACAGAATTCTGAGGCCGTTCTAGGCTGATCACACCACATTCTCCCCAACCAGTCATGTCAATTAAACAGCCACAACCCAGAGAAACGGCAGCACTGGCTCCCACACTCCTCTGAGGTGGGGTGGCCCTTTGGGTATCTTCTAGACAAAGCCTCAGGGAGATAAAGCCAGCACATTTGCTGGGTTGTGTAGACAATGAAGCCTTCCATTTGTTTGGACTGCTTCACTTTCTGTCAGGTGGTTCTGAAGACTGGTGTGCTCCAGGACTGCCTACACACTGCTCTTTCTGGTAAGTCTGGTGCAGCTATTCAATTGTTCTTTCTGGAAGGTCTTTATCTTCTCATTCTCCTTCTATTTGTGTATTTCTGTCTTTCTTACTGACAGCGAACTCCTTGAGGGTAATGGCTGTTTCTTGTCCATTCTTACCTCTTCACAGCTCACCTAGGATCTGGGCACATAGCACCTGCTCCATCCATGCTTATAGAACTGGAAGAGGAGAACACACAACGCTATTCTCTGCATTTCAGCAGTGGGTGACTCCTCAGAATGCCAAGGGAGGACTCTTAATTCTGAGCCAAATGAGACCTGCAGCTCTGGGTGGCCCCTTTAGAGATACCTCCAGGTGGCTTTAGAGATACCTGTCCTAGCATGGGCCAGATTCCTTACCTCAGCCTCAGACCAGGTCCTCAGCTTCCGGAAGTATCCGTAGCAATTGGACTTGTAGTAAAACCATCCAGCAGCGCAGCTGGGTCTCATGATGATGTCTGCACAAACACAGAAGGCGATTGCAAGTGATGATGGCAACGCCAATCCATTCCCACACTTATCAGTCTATAGAATGCAAGGGAGGCTGGCTGTCCTGAAGAAGGATCCTGCTGGGCTGCCCAAACTTTATACGGGTAATCTTTCTCCCAGCTTTCTCCAAAGGGAACTATGGCCTTTGTAAGGGGAACTGTGCACTGGAGAAAAGGCTACAATCAGATTTTAAAAATTTTTAATGCTTATTTTATTTTTGAGAGGAGGGAGGAGGTGCAGAGAGAGAGGGAGACACAGAATCTGAAGCAGGCTCCAGGCTCTGAGCTGTCAGCACAGAGCCTGACACAGGGCTCGAACTTACGAACCGTGAGATCATGACCTGAGCCGAAGTCAGATGCCTAACTGACTGAGCCACCCAGCTGCCCCTAGCTAAGACGATTTCATAGCAGACCCAGGGGGACCCCACATCCATCCCACGATTATCTCTCCAGTTATGAAATACACAATTAGAATAGCCACACTCAGCAACTGGCAGAATCCTCACATTGGTTGTCAGGTCAAACAGCTATAATTCAAGGCAGCACAAGAATGGGCAAAGGGCATAAATTGGTAGTTTTAGGCATTATGAGGAAGGAGTGGGTATTTTTGACCAGGGGGACACAGGACAGGTTAGATGGCAACTTGGATGGAACTTGACACTGGGTGAGCCGGGTTGTGTCAATAGCGAGGGGACACGTTAAGCAAAGGAGGTGTGTGAGCAGAGGAATGGAGGCAGAAACGTGCAAGATGTGCACCACAAGGGCGAGCACTTAAGTTTGCCTCAAGTAGAGGGAATCGTCCAGGCAAGCATGGTGGAAAGGGAAAGGAGAATCAAGGTCTGGACAAGGAAGCCATGACCGAGAGGCACAGGCTCTTCCTGCTACTTGATTAATGAGTGGGCCACGTCACCGAATCTGAAGGTTTAAGAAGCAGGGAAATGGCTGGAAATACAGAGGGCCTCGGTGATGAAGGGAAGGCCAGGCTGGCGAGCTCGGGCTTTGTGACCACGTGGCTGCACTCCAGCGCTATAGATGAGCGCAGGGGTCTTTCCGTTCCTCGGAGACTTCCGCAGTCTGTCGTTGTCACATAGCAAGCACTTCCTCTCTCCCCACTCAAATGACACTCCTGTCACTCGTTTGCCCTGATCTGTTTCATCCTTTGCCTATACATCTCTAGGGACTTCCTATGCTTTCAGATAAGCTCCCTACTCTGGCTAGCAGGGCATTCATGACCTGGTTCTGCAGCCCTATCCAGCCGAATCTTCCTATGCAGCAATCCCAGGAAGTCTCTACAACAGGGAGGAAGATCTGTAGAAGAGTAGAGTAGCGAGTGTAGAGTAACCGGTGGTATGTTCTGGCTCTACCTCCTCCAGAGGAGAGAAACCAGAGAGGGCTGGTGAGATCCCAGAGTCGGGAGACTGGTTTCTCTCTCCCCAGGTTTAGCCTGGGTGAATTTCAAGCTCCTGGAGATAACCACCTGGTGGGTTGCCTCCACAGGAGAGTTGAGGGCCACCTCTCATTGTCTTTCATATTCTATTTTTTTTATTTTTTTTAATGTTTATTTATTTTTGAAGGAGAGAGAGAGAGACGGAGTGTGAGTGGGGGAGGTGCAGAGAGAGAGGGAGACACAGAATCTGAAGCAGGCTCCAGGCTCTGAGCTGTCAGCACAGAGCCCCGACGCAGGGTTCGAACTCACAGACCATGAGATCATGATCTGAGCCGAAGTCGGACCCTCAGCCGACTGAGTCACCCAGGCGCCCCAGTCTTCCCTATTCTAGCACGGTTCAGAGAAAGCGGCTCAATCCCCCAGGTCCCGAGCAGCCATAAGGATTGACAGAACTGGTGGCTGGCAGTCAGCATGGGGTGGAGGGCAAAGAACCTTGAAGCACAAGGACACATCCAGGGTAGGCTAAGGCAAGGACCACACACATGAGCCACGGGCACCAACATGATGCTGGAAATAACTCTGCTTCTCTTCCTGCTTTCTTCCAATTGATTCTCCCCTTGGCCAAAGTACTCCCCAGTGGGAGTAGTGTTAGGTTATATACATGCTCAGGCATGGTTTCCCTCGCTGGGCCATGCAGGACTATGAGAAGCACCCCGGATGAGGCGCCAGAACATTATGTAATCTTGCTTTGTGACTTTGAGCAAGTCTCTACCTTCTTGGGGCCTCATAAACAGAACGAAGGCATTACACCAGATGTGCCCACATTTCATTTCTTTCCATTTCAGATACTCCATGATACTTATTCTCAGCTCATGAGTTCTCTTCCTGGCTTTCTCCACTGGAAGATCCTAGGGTATTGATTCTTGTTTTGTTGACATGTTACTTTGTACTTGATGCTGGGTCTACATGTATGGGGGAGCCATCTCTCCAACAAGGTTGTAAGTCCCTTGCAACCCAGAATTCCCAGTATACTCAAATAGGAAAACAATGCATAAACATTGGGTACCTTTAATTATAGCGCTCACTTATTGACTACTAGATGTCAGGTGCACATTGTCTTCCCTCTTCACAAGAAACTTGCAAAACTATTGTTATTATCTACATTTAGTTGATTATTTAACTATGGCTCACAAGCACATGAGGTTAGAATTTGTTTGATTCTATAGTCCTTGTATTTGTTTTTCCCTTACAGTTTATTATTTATTGAGAGAGAGAGTCGGGGAGAGACAGAGAGAGAGGGAGAGAGAGAGAATCCCAAACAGGCTCAGCACTGTCAACATGGAGCCTGATGGGGGGCTCGAACTCATGAACCATGAGATCATGACCTGAGTTGAAATCAAGAGTCGGATGCTTAATCAACTGAGCCACCCAGGTGACCCGAGTCCTTGTACTTTTTTACCATGTGACGTTGTCTTTTGTTCCTGTCTTTGACATCATTTCCTGTAGCACCTAAATATTTTGGGGGGTGAATGGATGGCTGTCAGTGTGCTGCATGAACACAGGCTGTGGGTGGGCTCAGTCCCAGCTGAGTGACGGATACTCACCACCCAAGACTTCAGTGCTGAGTACACAGCTCAGCAGTAGGAGAAGCCACATTCTTTGGGGGGCCATCTTCTTCTTCCCCTGGCCACAGAAGTGTTTCAGAAGCCTTTATTACAAGGAGTTTTCCTTTGAAGCTCCTGGATTCACCTAGACCTGCAGCCTGAACACATTGGGTGAGACAGACCCAGGAATTTAGATGCCAAATCACATATGGAGGAAGCAAAGTATTTTCCTAAACCCAGATTATACAATGAATGGAATCTCAAGCTAAATGTAGAGACTGGGAATAGTTAACTTATGTCACCTGCAAGACCTCTGGTCCAGCGCCAGAGACGTAACTGTACTGGGCTGAAAAGTTTGGATGGAGACAGTTTGGTACACTGTGGAGAGCCTGCTCCTGCTATTCTCTGGGGAACCAGCAGAGGGAGCCTAAGCCAAGCTTTCTCACAGATGAGGCAGTAATGGGCTTTCTATACAATCAGCTCAATCAAATCAAGTCAGTCTCAAGAGTAAATTTTTCTGTGTTAGAATTAAAAGTGAGTATATGGTCCAATGTCCACATTTTACAGATGAGAGTCTACCTGAGGCCTTTGGGTATGAAGTCATTTGGTCATTGTCGCATAGCTATAACCAGATCTCCAGACTTTAGGGCAACCCTCTTTCCTTCACACTTAGGTGATAACCACATTTTTTTGTTTTGTTTTCAGAAAATAAATGGGCAATAGTGTGCGGACAACAGTACTGTTCCCCCAAACTTTGAAGAACACCCAATTTGTCCATTTTTTTCTTGCTGATTTTGGCTTGATAAAGAAAAACCTCATTGTTTTTGTTAGTATTTTTAAAATATTAGTAATTAAATTACTTAAATTAGTAATTAAAAAAAATTTAAAAATATATAAAAAAGAATTTAAACATCTTTTTCTAGAATGCTTATCTTTAAAATTATCTTTTGTGAATTTTTGACTTAGAGCTGTATGCATTTTTCTGTTCGATTACTATCTTTTTTCTCAGGAATTTGTAGGGTTTTTCTTGTGTATTTATTGTCTTTCACATATAACTAAGAATATTTGCCAGTTTGTACATCTTCTCATTTCTGTTTCTTGCCACACTGAGAATTTCAAAAACTGTCATATTTATCTTTTCCTTCATAACATTTGGAATTTATGTCAGCAAAAAAAAAAAAAAAAAAAAAAAAAAAAAAGGCCATTACCATCCACATAAGATGAAAATATCTGCCCATATCCTCTTTTATTTTCATCTGCCTGGCATTTATTTTAGTGTAAGCATGGGATCGGGTCCAAGATTTTTTCCCAAATAATTATTAGGATGAGTAAATAATTAATTGAATCCTTATTTGAGCATACTTTATGATCCCAAAATCAGAATACATATTCTAACTATCTTATAGTAGGTTGCTTACAGGAATGATGGAACATAATATTCAAACTTTCCTGGGCAATCTAAAGATTAGATGCATATGAAAGTATGCACAGTGCATGTGAGCACTGTGACACAGTGTTAAACAAAAAGGTGAAGCATGTCATAACCCTCTCCCCACCACATTGTTTTACACTCTTTTTATTTTTTCTTAAAAAGAGAGAGAGTACACATGGGGGAGCGGCAGAAGGAGAGGGAGAGAGAATCTTAAGCAGGCTCCACACTCAACGTGGAGCCCAACTGGGGGCTCAATCCAAGACCCTGGGACTGTGATCTGAGCTGAAATCAAGAGTTGGACACTCAAGTAACTGAGCCACCCGGGCACCCCCACCCTCTCCCTACCTTTATATCATCACATTAACCCCATGCTCCTCTGACGAACTTCCCTTCCAGAGATGATGGAGGTATTTTCAATGTCCTCAACCCCCTTAGAACACAAATAGCAAAGACTTCTCTGTCAAACCAACTATCTGGGGGAAGGGATGTGTAGCATCTTTTGGAAGAATCTACTAATGGATCTTAGCAAACTGACATTCATTGAACGTTTGCATGCCACCTAATCTAATCATAATGAGGCTGCAATGCAGGTATCATTAACTTGCTTTCCACATGAAGACACAAAATTCATTAAGTAACTTTCCCAAAGTTTCACAGCCATTAGATTGCACAGCCATGAATTAACCTGACACAGACACCAAAGGTAATGCTTTTTATAATAAAAGAGGAAAGAAAGTAAGTAGTTCAAATTAAACACACACACACACACACACACACACACACACACACACAGAAACAAAAAGCATGACTAACATCATTAGACCTAGAGCTTTTCATTTCTGGCCCAGTGAAGGTCTGGCAGAGGAAGTCAAATGTTCAAAGAAAGCCCTCTGCCCTCAACTGGGTGTAGGATTACCTGGTTGGCATTCAAGGCTTGAGGACCCCTGCTTTCTTCAGCATCCTAAGAGATCCCAGGAAGTTTCTTGAGTTTTTATATCTTCTTGCCTCTGGAATTATATGACCTTTGTTGTAATCATAGAGCAATAATGTTGTTTAAAATAACAATCCATCCATAAAGTCTTATCTTTAGTCAAAAGGAACAGCTGCGAGGCTTGAGAACATATTCTGAAGAAACTCTCCCTATTTGTAAACAATCTTTCCTTTACATCCTACCTTATCAAAACCGACAATATCCTGTAGTCTGTTAGAAGCCCGTCCTCCTCTCGCCTTATTCACTTTTTCTTTTGTCAGTCATTTTATCCCTTTACATTGTTGATTTCCTTTATTTCTCCTTCCTTTCTATAAAGATGCCCCACTTCAACTCTGGAGAATTGGGATGTTTCTATCTTTGCAGAAAGGATTTGCCATCAGGGCTGGACATAACTTATGTACCCCTGTGGTGGGCTTGAGGGATACACACAGACTTCCCTCTCTAAGGCACCAACCCCATCTCCTTCAGCATGCACTCTGTTCCTCAAAAATCTGTTTAAGTTCCTTCTTCTTGTTCCTAAGGAACGAGGTAGTGAAATCTTGTCCTAATGCAGGGCAATTATGTGAAAATAGCTTACATTGATCCAATATTTTACCATACAGTGTTTTCACCTAAGTCACTAATGAGATCCTAACAAATCCCTGGGAGTGATGCAGGATGTGCACCCCCATTTCACACCGAAGAAACCTGATGTTAAGAGGTGTAAAGAGCCTGCTCTGTCAGGTTCACAACGCTGGTCACTGGTGGAGCTGGATATTGACCCCAAGCCCTCTCTGTTTCCTGAGTCACAGTCTTTTTTTTTTTATTATTTTTTTTTAATGTTTATTTATTTACTTTTGATTTTTTTGTTTTTTCTTTTTTTTTTTAATTTTTTTTAACGTTTATTTATTTTTGAGACAGAGAGAGACAGAGCATGAATGGGGGAGGGACAGAGAGAGAGGGAGACACAGAATCGGAAGCAGGCTCCAGGCTCTGAGCCATCAGCCCAGAGCCCGACGCGGGGCTCAAACTCACGGACCGCGAGATCATGACCTAAGCTGAAGTCGGACACTTAACCGACTGAACCACCCAGGCGCCCCTATTTATTTACTTTTGAGAGAGAGGGAGAGCACAAGTGGGGGAAGGACAGAGAGAGAGAGAGGGAGACACTGAATCCATCAGAAGCAGGCTCCAGGCTCTGAGCCATCAGCACAGAGCCCAACGCGGGGCTCGAACCCACAAACCGTGATATCGTGATCTGAGCCAAAATCAGACACTTAACTGAGCCACCCAGGCACCCCTCACACAGTCTTTTTAAATTTTTGTTAATGTTTATTTATTTTGAGAGAGAGAGAGAGAGAAAGCGCATGCAAGCAGGGGAGGGGCGGAGAGAGAGAATCCCAAGCAGGTTCTGTGCTGTCAGCACAGAATCTGACACGGGGCTCGATCTCATGAACCGTGAGATCATGACCTGTGTCAATATCAAGAGTCAGATGCTTAGCCTACCGAGCCTCCCAGGTGTCCCTGAGTCACACAGTCTTATTAAGAAAATAACCTATCTGGAAAGGCAACACGATTTCCTTCTGTAGTGTAGTAACAAACTATGTTGAAGGTGTCACCACTTATTCAATCTCAATGGTCTAGAACTTTAAGGCTGGAAAGGATAATGGTATTTCTCAAGTCCTAGAAATATACAGCTAGTTCAGAGTGAAGCTGATGTCAGAGGTGGATTTTCTTACTCTCCACGCAGGGTTCTTTTTACACTGCTACTCAGGCTTTGCCATTGGCTTTTTCTAGCCTGTGTATGCATTCACGGTGGGACAAGAGAAAGTAATATTTCCATGGTGTGCGAAGTGTATTTTTTTTTTAATTTTTTTTTCAACGTTTTTAATTTATTTTTGGGACAGAGAGAGACAGAGCATGAATGGGGGAGGGGCAGAGAGAGAGGGAGACACAGAATCGGAAACAGGCTCCAGGCTCTGAGCCATCAGCCCAGAGCCTGACGCGGGGCTGGAACTCACGGACCGTAAGATCGTGACCTGGCTGAAGTCGGACGCTTAACCGACTGCGCCACCCAGGCGCGCCGCGAAGTGTATTTTAGAGAAACTCTGCCATTCTGATGATGCTTTGGGGAAAGAACACAAGGCCTGGCTTCTGATGGATGTTGGTTCAGGTCCCAGTTCCATTACCCACTCACTGTGTAACATCAGACATTCTCCCACATCTCTCTGAGGCTCAGTTTCCTAACTGTATGTGGTAGGATGTTACCAGATGAATTTTATTTTTTTACTCTACCTGTTAAACAGAACCTTTTCCCCTTTAGGTGGCTGGATAAGAATCATCATTGCTTCATGCCATAACAAAGAGCAAATATATAAATTCCAAGCTTTATTTAAAGATAGAAATCCAACAGATTTCTTCTTTTTTTAATGTTTATTTATTTTTGAGAGAGAGAGCGAGAGAGAGAGAGCACAAGTGGGACAGGGGCAGAGAGAGAGAGAGAGAGAGAGAGAGAGAGAGAGACAGAACCCAAAGCAGACTCCAGGCTCTGAGCTGTCAGCACAGAGCCCAATGTGGGGCTCAAGCCCAGGAACCATGAGATCATGACCTGAGCCGAAGTCAGACGCTTAACTAATGGAGCCACCCAAGCGCCCCACAATTCCAA